AGTGGATATTCAATAGATATTGAAAAACCTTCTAGAATTTACTATAAAATGAAGGGTCTAAAATACTTACCCTGTCTCTTCCTATGAAATCAATTTGACCAAATCAATTGAAACGTTCCTCATGAAAACAATGGAAAATATTCAGAACCTCTCAGGATTTTAGAATGGAATACAATCCAGTTATCCATTTTTCTGAACTGATTCAGAAAACAGAAAGGACATTTCCAATACATACTGTAAATTGCACTGACATATTATCCATATAATGTAAATTTGTCCAATACATTTGTGCACCATAGAAAGCATGGGTTCATTTTCTTATAAAATTCAACTTAAATTAGATTTTGGAATTTATTTCTAACTTTCAAGAATAAAGAAACACATACAGTATACACATATAATGTACAGTATATAGAGTATATAAACTAATGTTTGTACGTTTTTTTCTGTTGAACTAAATTTACAAACGCTAAATATTAACAACAGCTGATTTTTTACTAAATCAACTGTGAGTCATTCTGTTCTGGAATGGTGATCTTCCAACTTATAAGATCTGTTTCATACTGTAAATTGCAAAAAGTGTTGCAATCGAAATTTCATAACCATTTTAGGGACATCTCTTTCAGCAAAAGTTAAGGAATTCTCCTTTAGTGTATATACTGTATCCATTATGCTACTGTATGCTTTTGTATTCACATTGTATTAATTACAGAAAAGAGTGTGCAGAAAAGATGAATAATGAATTTCACTCAAACTTTTTTTACACATTTTAATTTTTCTCTGCAAATCAAAAGGTTGACTGTGCACAGGAATTACCTAAATCAATTTTCACTTTGTCTATTGCTTCAGTCAATCACTTTTTAGTATTTTGAAGTACTTGAGTATCTATCACTTTTACTTTACAAAGAATTTATCTCAAGTTCCTATGTGAAAAATGTGACCTATCTTATCTCATACAGATAAAAAATACTTGGCACTAACTTCAGGAAGAGGAAAAAAAAACAGAGTTGAAATACCTAAGGTTTGTATTCTAAACTAAACTCAATATTCTAGGAGTTGCAGTTTCCTTTTTATGGAGTGGATTTTATTTTGATTTGTTTAATTTTGCTTAAATTGGGGCTTATATTGTAAATTAGAAATGAAACTAAACAAACTAAAGAGTATCAGATGGATGGACCTTATATTTTCACCAGAACAACCCCCATCATAATTCAAATACGGTCACGCCCTCTATAGCTAGAGGGAGCTCCTGTGCTTTGCTTGTCCTTCCGGTTTGTCTTTGTTTGGAGCTACATATTTCCGGGTCACCCTTTCCTCCTGGCTCAGCATTGAGGGTTCTGATGTCCTGAGACTTGCCTAGCACCAGGTCATCTCCTCCGCTGCCTGAGGGCATAGGTTTCTAGCCAACATCGCCTGACCTCCTGAACCCGGGTTAACCCCCATTTTTCTGCTATGCATAGGGTCTTTTTTGCTGCTCGGCATGCCCTTCCGACATCTGTGACAAATACAGTGTTTGCTATTTAATCTTCATGCTACTTCCATCAGCTGATTTTCCATACACGTTACTTTATGATTGGATTTTTTAATAAAACCTTCAGAAAGAACATATACTGTACAGTACTTAAGTTCACTTCCTCAGCATTCTCTCATTTGCATTCACAAAAGCTGCTCTATGTCCATGCTGCTATCATGCTTGCTCTTACTGAGGATCAGAGAACCTACTGTATGTATGAGACTGTGAGAGGCAGCATTGAGAGGAAGCCACCTATTTTGGAGAAAAGTCAGACAGATATGGTTTGATTGAATATTGGCATCCAGAGGGTGGAAGATTCCGTGAGGTGAAAGAACAGTGTCACAAACAGTTCTTTCCAGGCCCTATGCAGTTTAGTGAGGAAACGGTGGGGAAAAGTCATGCAGGAGAGGGTATGGAGACAGGGGGTGTGTCCAAGGGGTGCAGGTGTCCATGGTAAGTGAGTCAGAGGCGAACAATCCATGTAGAAATCCAAACGGGGAATCCAAGACAGAAGCTAAAGTCCAAGGCCAGGAGATCCATCCAGGGGATTAAAACCATGAACCGGGTCGGGACCGGCGAAGGGAGGGGAATCAGGAACAGAAGGTTAAAAGCATAATGGAGCCAGATGCAGCAGGACCCCGGGTTCTCACGAAACGAGATTCAATGAGGAACCTCGGGTGACATCTGTGTCTGGCTTTTAAGGGGGAACGGAAAACAGAAACAGGTGCAGGTAATGGGGCAGAACAAGGAAGGGCTGGAGCGCCCTTAAGAGGAGGAGTAGCGATCGTGACAAACAGGAACAGGAAGGACAGGCTCAGAGTGGAACTAGCCACTCCTCTGGACTAAATGGAAAGTGTGTAGGAACAGCCAGACAGGAAAATGTTTCAGTATGTGTCTTCTAGGCTCAAGCATGAGAGGAAGGAGATGAGAGCCCCAGTGACAATGAGATAAGCTGGCTAACAGGCTTGTGGGACTCAGCAAGCAATGGATGCTTAGAAAATATAACTTAGGCTATACTGAAAGGCATTACAAGTGCTGGACAGACAGGCTGAAGAGAGAGGTTTGTTTGCAAGGGTTAAGGGGGTCAAAGGGCACTGCCAAGAAACAGGGTTTGGGAACCAGGGCTGATGGGAACCATTAGTACCCGGAGGAGCAGGGCGTCACCTGGAAAGGTACCTGGACATCTTCTCCCCATAACTGAGTGAAGGGATTGTAGATTCTCCCTGACTATACCATCAGCAGACAGGTGTGTGTTCTCAGAGAGTGAACAGCTCTGGCTACTGTTGTGTCAGGGATGCAAGTGGTAATTAATGAAGATGGAGAAGTGTCACTGCTCAAACAGGATCAGCCTGTTTTGTAGGAAAGAAACAAATTAGTGGTTTTGTGAAGAGCATGCACATGGGAAAGTCAGCAAGCAAAGTTTAAAGAGCAGCTTTGGGTGAGTTAAACTAATCACATCAGTGAGCAGTTATGAAGCAATGGAAGAATCACGGGAAGAATACTCCAGCACCTGATTATATTTGCAAAAAGTGATTAATGAAGTGAGAATGGTGTTGGGCAACATGGAGTGAACTGAAATACTCCACTTGTATTGTGGAGTGCTTAATTAATTAATCTAGAACTGAGCCTAGATATTCATGTTTATGAACATGAGTACAAATTAGAAGAGGAAATTGGGATCTGAGGATGTCATACAATGTCAAAGAAGAATCCTCAAGAATTTATAGCAGGTGCTAAGCAAGATTGGAGAGACCACTGCAACAGAAATTATAACCATATCCTTATTGTTTTATAAAATACCACCCTTCCAACCACCCATCCAATACAACAAGCAAGAACAAGAAGCTTTCTTCTAGTTAAATAATATTATTATTCCTTTCACTTTGACATGATTGTTGAACCCATCGGCGTGGAGAACACTGGACATTTTGGGATACAATAGGAAAGCTTGCATGCCAGTCTCACTTACTGTATTTCCCTTTAAACTGCAGCACTGATCCCTCAGCCAAGTTAAATATTACACTGTCTGATCTTTTTCAATGTTAGATTCTTGTTCAGTGTTAGGGGTGGAATGCAATGTGTGAGGTTAATTATACTTCCATTAAGATGTAAGTTATCTTTCTTGGGAATTATTCAATTAATGTATTTTTAATAGCAAACATTCTAAGAAGTTCATTCATACAGAATTTCCAATCAACAATAATAAAATAATTTCACAGCATAATTATACACAGTATAATTACAAAATCAATTAATTGTAAGTACTTCCACAGAAGTGAAGAAAGGAACAAACTGCTGATTTCTGTATTAGCTTGTAATGAGTGAGGACTTTATATGTCTTATATACTTTATAAACAAAAAGGATTTTGTATGTAAGTCACACAGAATAGTAGCTATGAGACTGACTTTTTGCATCCCTTTGGTTTCATGATGAAAACCCTTTCTGCTAATTCTAATTTATGTACCCTAGCCAAGCAGGTAAAAGTCAAAGGATGTGAGTGATAATTTTAACCTACAGATGATCTCGTGGCAGACCAATTTATCTATTGTGGTGAGATGTTCCTATTTATATTGATTGAAAAATGCACGTTGAATCTCACCGTGTTCTGTCTCTTCTGGATAAAATTGTTGATGGTTTTGGGTGTCAAGGTAGTTTAATAAAAAATAGCCTTGTAATATTTCAGGATTTATGAACTGGCAAAAAATGTGGTGTTTTTTTTCATGGTAAAACGTGGTTCTTACTTAATATAAAATTTCATATTTATTTCACATACATACACTATAAATAATTGTAAAGATAATACCAGACGGTGATGATTTAAGTTGACTGTTTACAATTTCCTTCTTGTCCTAAAATGGCATGAACAATGCTCTTAGGGGTCTTTCAGGGTATTGTGGCAGCATTACTCTAAAGAAGCAGCAAAGCACTTTAAAGATCTTAAGTGTAGTCCTGAAAATAAACAATAGTACTATATCATGTGGCAAAATGCCACTCCAAAAAAAAAATGTGCAATGTTATGTCCTAATTGCATAGCTCATAGTTAACTGAAGTGATTTTTAAAACTGAGAAGTCATTTTACATTTGAGGTCTTGTTGGCACAACACATTATTTTTTTCATTAATTCATTGCAGGGGTAAAAACATAATCCAGCAGCATTTGGGGAGATGTTGAATTCAAACTGTTATACATTACACAAGCTTTTTTGTTGTAGATCGTGTTGCTTTTGTTTTCTTTTTTAAAAAACAAGCACGTTGACCTCAATTGTCTGAAGTGCTTCATTTTTATATTTTGCATTGACCGCCAAATTTAGAATTAAAATCCCGAGAAATAAATGATTAGAAACAAAGCAGATTCTGACCTCTCATTCACCAGTGGCTTGTTACAGGGCACAATGTGTTGCCTGAGTGGAACCTACCTAAAGAGGCCCCTTGATGATTACACACACACACACTGCAGCCGGGAGCTGGTTCTGCAGCATAGTAATTGCACAGTTCAACAGTATGTGAGTGGCCTGAGTCAACTGTAAGAACTGACAAAAAAAAAACTGCTTGAGATGGCTAGAATGATCTGCTGGAGGAATATGTTCCGTGCCGGGTCTGGGCTTTGAAAAGTGAGCTTAGGCTCAGTGAGGGTGTGTGTTTGGAAGCGTGTCTGTGTTTGTGTGTGCCACTCCTCTGAACACACGGCTAGGGGTGTGTGAGGGGGGGTCTTTGGACAATCCACGCTACTGCAGTCACAAGACCTCATAGGCAGTTGAGGATCAAGAGTGATGACAACTGTTGGGGAGCTGAAGTGGAGAAAAGGGAGAAAGGACGGTAGGGAAGTGGTCCTCAGATGACATTTAACTTCATTGTCTTCAATTATTGAAATTATTATTTTCTCTTTCAACCCTGCCTACCCTCCTCTTGGTAGTCGGAGTGCAATGATGAATTAATAAGAGCTGTCTGCGCTAAGAGGATCAATAGCTTAGTTGCTGTACACTAAGAGAGCAAGCTGGCGTATTATAGGGTTAGGGAATACAAATGACTGCAAAGAAGAAGGCAGCAAGAAAAATAAACCACTCATATGCACACACCTCTGGATGGCAACAGACTGCACCTCGCGGGTTTGGGACAGAAGAGACGTAGCACCTTTAAGTACTTTCCAGAGGAAATACATTGAACATGCTTTTACACAGCTCATCTGAGACCTTTGTTTCTACTCCTGGGGCTTGAGGAAGGATGCTGATGCCATGAGAAAATAGTTGGAGCTTGCAATGAAAATGTGGCAGAAGGAGTTTGAAATCCTTGCCGGAAGAATACCAAGAAAAAGGCATCAACAAGATACGGCTACTAATCTTGGGTTGACATTTCTTTTATACTACTACAAAACATCTCTGTAACATAGACGGAAAGAACAACTTATCTATTTTTTCATGGGGTTTTGTACACGCCTTATATACACCTGGATTGGCTTACTTTTCACTCGCCTTAATTTGTACTGAACAGCTGTTAATGTTTTTTGCATTAAAGGTCCAAGTTTTGCAGAGTTGGAGGTAAAGACTTAACATACTGAAAGCACTGTTATTGTAGCCAGAATGGCTTAAACTTATGGGATATATAGTTTGCAACTTTGTTTACATGTCTTGTTTCTTTTGGAGGACATTTGACAGCTCTGAAGAGAAATGAAGAGATTCACATCATTTTTTAATTTCCGCTGGGTTTTCAGAATGCATATACAGTAGGCAGGTTTTTGTTTTGCTAACACATCCCAACTAAATGAAGCCTGGAAATACTCATGTGGGAAGACAGAAAAAAATGATGCACGTGAATAATTTCCCTTTCAGGAGGCATTCCTGGATATGGTGAGTGAATGATGTAACGTTTTCTTTAAATTGCATGCTGTAAGGAAATGTAGGAATATTTTATGGAAAATATTGAAATTGTGTGTGGTTTACTTTTAGTTTGGGCCTCCATCATTTCTGCAGCAGTTGTTTTTAAGGAAGTTCTTATCAGATAGTGTTCTACAGTATTTATTGTTGGTGTCACATATTTCCTTGAGTACATTCAATGGTTTGTTCATTGTAATGGATTATTACTTGTGAGATGAAATGAGTCACAAATGAAAATACAGAGCAAAATATTATAAATAAAATACAGAAACAAAGGTGAAGCATTTAGACTATGCACAATTAGCAGTAATGGCAACAGTACAATGGTTAATAATCAAATATTGAGTATAAGTTACCGCAACACCACAACTAAGGAACCCCACAGTATTTTTGTCCCCCAAAAATAAAAAAAGTACTGGATGTTGTTTGACTTGCATAATTACAGTAATTAACCTCCACATCACTAGGTGAATACCAGACATTAAAGCCCCTGTTTAAAGTTTAGTGCATTGGAATTTTCTTTATTTAAAGAAAAACAAAGACTACTGTATCTACAACACTCGACAAAAGAAACCAACAAAAACATAAATACGTAGCACATCTAGCATCTTAGATCTTAGGTGTAGCTATCTTAGCTAGATTAATAGATAAAATACACAATGACATATGTTCATGAAATATAATAATGTAATGTTTAACTTTAGTGAACATGCTTAATTAGTAAACAAACCCCCCTAATAAATAATAGTTATTTATTCGATAATGAATGTATATGAATACTGTAAAGAGTGATTTAAATCATTTATTTATGTTTTTATATAATTAAATGTAATGTATGAACTACTTTGAGAAGAGAGACACATTTAGATCTCATTTGTTATTTAAATTTTACATTTTAACAGCTGAAAAAACATTAAGGGCACCAAAGGTCATCCTAAATTGTATTGCTGTATTCTGGTGTCACAGAGCAGTCAACAGATTTTTGTTTCTGCATTTTTGAATAGTGATAAGCACTCATAAAAGAAAGTCCCTAACAATAATGGTCATACCTTGTGATATACTGATGAAGGTCTTTTCCTCACAGCTTTTTGTTTTAATTTCCAGTGACATGTCACTGGAAACTACTGTTATTCTCATATGCTGTGTATCTTGAGTGTTTTCAGCTAGTTCATTTACATTAATTTAAACTGAATTCTTTGAATTATCATTTTCTTAAATTGAAAGAGCACTTTGATTTTGTAAAACTAGTTTGTTACACTTGGATTTTGTCACAGAGATGATTATTCAGGTAGAAAATTGCTCAAAGCAGATGTCTTGAATTGATGAAGGGTTATGTACAGTATCTCATAACTGCAATGAGGTGATGACAAGCAAAGTGAGAAATACATTAATAAATAATGACTATTTAAATGAAAGGATTTACACTAGAGGACCATTCCTATCTCCCTCAATGAAATGGCAAATAATATACTCTATGTCCTGGCCAGTCATGAGATGGCTGCAAGTGCTTGCTGTAAAGTGAGGATTTGTGATGTTTCTATACTGTTATGTAACCATATATTAAAATATTAATGCATTCAGTTAAAAAGAAAACAGGCATTGGTCAGTTAAAAAACCACAGCTACTATAGAAACTATTTTTTCAATCTTACTTTAATTCTTAATTTATCGTGTGTCCCCCACCATGAGAATTACATTTAAAATGGATAGATTTATCCTGTGTTTCAGTTCAGGTTCAGGTGAATACAACTACAGTATACTGTATACATTATGTACTGTAGTCCACATAGTGCAGTGATTCAACACAAATAATCCTGGTCATTTTTTATAGGAATGATCCTTATCATGTAAAGTCTTTTCATCCAGAAAGATGCAAAAGCATTTTAGACATACTGTAAATAGATACTATTATTGTGCATCAAACTCCCAAATTTGTCAAGTGGAAACAACTGTCCAAGGAAAAATCCCATTAAACAATGTTTGGTACTCCCCTGCCATACAGAGTGAATGTACTGTATAAGGAATCTTCAGTACAGGTTTTTGAGTTTATTTAAAATAAGGTGAGCTTTAGCACAGGGCTAACTGCTTAGATTTTGTGTCCATTTGCTTTGTAAAGCAGAACCTTGTATATCAAAAACTGACAGTCACAGCCTCTCATTACAGGTACTAGGATGCTGAATATAAGTTAGTTATAGAGTATATAGTGTGCACCCTACTGTATAATGTTACACCATATAATGTCTTGAACATTCTGTGAAAAAGGTTAAAATGCATGATCTTTGAGAATACATAAAACACACAGCTGACATACAGTGCTACTTAGAAACATTTGTATATTCTCTACAGTATATACAAATGTCAAGGTTTATGTTTTCAAAGCTACTGTAAGTCCTCTTAATCATTTTCCATTTCATTTATATGCAGCACTCCTATTGGCAAACTGTACTTGACTGTACTTATCATTCAAGAACTATTTCTCACCAGCATCACTTGCTGAAGAGTTTTACAGAGAGCAATGTCAGTAGGATACACCTCTGGATGAAAGATAACTTGGCATTAGTATTTCTGTAGGTGATTATCATCAAGTTGCATTATGAAATGATATAACTGTGAGCTTTCGCCCTGCATACAGTATGCTGCACAGCCTAAAATGGGTCTTTCTAATAGTTATAAAAGGTAGGTGTACAGTACTTCACTTGAAATCATTTAAACAATTCAGGTCAGAAAAGAAGTGAATATTTTAACCCTTATTCCATGTGAGTTTAAGTTTACATGTTTTCATTTGATCAGTTAGATATAATAAACTAAAAATATGTATTGTATCTTAACTTTTTTTCCATCAATGGCATTGATCCCTAGCTATGGTGTACATTAGTAAACCGACACAGTATGTACTATAAGTCATTTAAAAATGTACCTGAAAACACATCATTGTTCTGAAATGAAGTGAGTTTAGTCTTTTAGGCTTTTAAACATCAGGAAGAAATAAGACAACATGAGGAACGCTGACCCATTGTAGACATGGCTGGCTTCACTTATAGTGGAAATCATTTACTCATTAAACATTTAAATAAATGAATTATTTAATAAATTATTTAATCACCTCTTCATTTCATAATTTGGCTACCCATTGCTTTAATTGCTGATTATCAGTTAAGTAATTAAAGAGCTGGATGTAGCAAAATTCTGGAATGTGTTGGTTTTGACAGACAATAAGATAAGTAGTTTTGCTTTAAATGAATGGCTAACTTGCATTATATTTGAAACATTGTAAATAAACTACAATACCCTGCAAAATGTTACTATCTAGTTATTTTAAACCCTGATTTTTATTTCTGAACTGAAGAAAATATAGCATGTTTTTTGTGTCTTAAAAAGTCTAACTTTACTTTTTAGAGAAAGTATTGTAAAGTTGAAATTAGGCAGTAGAATAGAATTTTCAGAATCTACTTGTTCATCTTATTTAGATTTCAGTTGACTTCACTAAATGCATAACTTAACAAATTACTGTTAAGCCATAACAAATTATGACTTATTTCAAAATTTGGACATAACCCAATTTGCACATACAATAAATAGATTGTTAACTACTGCATTTGCCTCTAATAAGTTTTTAAAACATAAAAGAATGAAAACATAAAAGTATTATCTTAGTAATGAATAATGTTTTTATTACAGTCAATACTGGTAACTAATCTTAAATGTAGATTTCATGGTCTTGAACTTAGAATAGTAAGTCAGGAGATCATGCAGTACATGGAAGCATACTGTATCTTAAATCATGTTTTTAAAATGTGAACTACTTTTGTAAAATGGTAGAAACTACTGAAACTACTGTAGATTGTTGCTTTTGAGTTCCTGATGCTGAACGTCAGCAAATAATTTTTAAAGTTATTTAATAAATTTAAATACATTTATGTGTGCTTAATTATTTTTATATCAGTCCTTGACTTTATTTTGATAATGGTCATCAGGTGTATCACTAGCTTTCATAAACATCAACATTAAGGTTACAGTATGTAAAGTTTACAGTATGTACTTTTAATGTTACATCTCAATAAAGGATGAAACATGGTCTCAGGATAAATGTTTTGTGTTGTAGTTTGCAATGTAGAAACAGAGGCTAGCTAGGGAAAGGTCAGTTCGATGCTTTTAAAATGTCTTCTGACATCTTTGAGTCACTTTGCCGTAATTTCTCAATAGATCATATTCCCTGTTTCTCTAGTAATGTGAAATTTGTGTAGATAGTTGCATTGCCTGCAATGCATCAAAGCTTTTTGTTGTGTGTTTATTTTATGAGAATGTAATTTAAGAAGCCAAGATAAATTAGTTAAATGTTCTGTATAAAATACCACGCAATTGAACCAATTATCATAAACAAGCATTTTTTTTAAAAAAAGCAATTAGCAGAATTTAACTGTTATATTCACAGGGGAAATTGAGAAGAAATTTAATTTAAATATCATTATGTACTACTTCATTGTTTTCTCATTTACCAATATCAAATTATCAATAGTTTTCAACAGTTAACTTTCTATGTGATTAAATTAAGTTATGTAACTTCAAGAAAAGCATGCTACAGTATGTTTATTACAGTATGTAATAGTTTAACATATACTGTAGCTTCAGCATAACACATGCTACCATAACTACAGTGCAATAAGAAATACTGATTCAAGCCATTTTTCTCCAACAATTCTATCACCATTTCAGTTGTTTTTTTGCATCTATCTAATGATTTAGGAACCAGGAAATATAAAGTAACCCTGCTGTAGGAAATGACTAAGGTGTGTTAACAAAAGGCGGTTGTTTTGGTTTAAAAAGGTCATTTGTTATTTTGTAATAAGTACATTAACACATCAAAGAGTACCTAAAAGGAAATCTTAAGGAGCTGAAGGATTTTTTTCTTGTTTGTTTTTTTGGGTTTTAAATTGTTGTGCAAGTACAGTTTAACAGCTAGATGTTATTATAAAA